CATATCGCCAGGCTGGATTTGTAGGAACGATCGGCCATCCCCTCACTTTTTCACATCATCTTTTCCAAACATGCAGACTTTGCAATTTTGACATCTAGTCAAGCTACCTTTTCTCCTGCCTTCCCTGCTTTCTCCTGGTAACATCTGCTCCGGTGAAGAGATGTGAACATTTCAAAAGCATGCACATTTTTGGTGTCCTCTGAGCTGAGCAAATAAAGGCTTCATACAACAGAGCTGGAAACATTTCATTTTTTCAAAAGACAACACCCAGAATACCCCAATCACCATAGCCATGCTTGTAGGGGATTCTGGGAGCTGGAGTCTAAAGGAGACCTATGGCATGAATAGGAATTTTGGATACAGTCTACTGTCCAGCAATGTCATTTTATGAAATCTTCTTGGAAGCAGTCTATAAACGACTCACAGAGGAGTTGTTGGTTTTCGCCACCAGGCTTAAATACAGTACTGGTCTTACCTTTGATATCCAGCTCTTCTTCCATGTTTTGGATATAAACTGGGGATTTCTGCTGGACAAAGTAAAGGATTTCGATGGAGTTTGACATCCAGAAGAGGATGTGCTGGAGATCAGGGAGCAGGTCTGTGATGGTGAAGTGGGAAAGCAATGCTGGATCCTGGCTGACAAGAGGAGGAAAGAGTTAAAAAGATATACTGGCGTAGGATCAAGATGTGTATGCATTTCCTCCCCATTTTCCCTCCTACTGAATTCCTTCCTGCAAGTGGGATTTTAGCCCCTCGGCAGCCAAAGAGAGCTTCCCTGGGGATAGTTGGATAGTTTCAGTAATGGATATACCATCTGCAAAACAGCAGCATTCTATTTGTGTACTTCTATTTGCATGCACATACCACCCCACCCCATGTCCTAGCCATTTATTTATTTATTAGGTAGGCCTTTTGACTTTTAATCCTATAATAATAATAATAATAAAATGTATTTCTATCCCGCCCCTCTGCAGCGCAAGCGTGGCGGCACAGTGTTTAAAAGTAATACATTATTGGGTGTCAAAAGTTGGAGTGAAGGAAGCAGATAGGAAGAGGATCAACTCATTTGAAATGCGTGCTAGAAGACCAGTGCTGAGGATATCATGGAGTGCTAAAAAGACAAACGAATGTGTCTTAGAAGAAATCAGGCCTGGATTCTCACTAGAAGCTAAGATGACTAAACTGAGGCCGTCCTCGCAAAAGCTTAAAAGCTGGACCCCAGGGGCCACCTAGTCTAACCTCCTGCCATGTAGAAATATACAACTAAAGCACTCCTGAAAGATGTCCATTTAACCTCGGTTTAAAGACCTCCAAAGATGGAGAGAATCCACCACCTGATTGTAAGGATCAACTGTAAAGATCTATTGTAAGGATCAACCTCCAAAGATGGAGAGAGTCCACCACCCGATTGTAAGGATCAATTGTAAAGATCTATTGTAAGGATCAACCTCCAAAGATGGAGAGAGTCCACCACCCGATTGTAAGGATCAATTGTAAGGATCTATTGTAAGGATCAAGCACAGAGGAGGAGAGCTATGTAAACCACCATGAACTCAATGTGGGATATAAAGTACGAGAGAGAAATAAAATAAATGCTCTTAATAACAACAAGTTACTCTGAACACATATGCCATTTGGGAAGAGGAAAGATTCCGCCCCTCTCTGTTTTGCCATTTATGTGTCGGGGTTTTCTACAATGAACAGACAGGACAGTCTCTACGCAAGAGGCTAAACGGACAGAAATCTGGCATTAGAAATGGCAATCACCCAAACCCCAGTTGTAGCACATTTAAACCTTCCTGGATATATGGCAAGGGATGGATATACAGGTCACAGTGCTTGAACAGAGAGAGCTAGTGTGGCGTAGTTAGACAAACTGTGAGACAATGTGACCCGTTGCAAATGGCAATAATGCTTGGTAAAGTAGAACGTAATCGGAAAAGAGGAAGACCACATTCCAGGTGGATGGATTCAAGCAACACTTGGAGGGTTAAAAACAAATACAGATTGAGACAGGCAAACGACATTAAAATGACTACAAAATACTTTTCTTGTTGTATGCCTTCAAGTTGTTTCCGATTTAGGCAATCCTAAGGCGAACCGAACCTATCATGGGGTTTTCTTGGCAAGTTTCTGCCGAGGGGTGGGTGGGTTTGCCATTGCCATTCTCTGAGGCTGAGGGTGTGTGACTTGCCCAAGGTCACCCAGTGGGTTTCCATGACTGATCTGGGATCTGAACCCTGGCCTCTGGAGTCATAGTCCAACACTGTCATTAACAGACAGGACCACTTATCTGTCTTCATGCTTCAACCGTTGGAAGTCTGGCTGCCAGGTTTCTGAGTTAGACAACTAAAGAAAGCAATCCAAGTTCTGTGCATGTCTTTGCGCCAAGGAAAGTGGGAACTGGAGACCAACCAACATTATATGGGGAGGGCAGCAGCAGCAATAATAATAGTACTACTACTACTACTACTACTACTACTAATAATAATAATAATAGTCGTCATCATTCTCATTCCTTACCCAGTGCACTGGGATCTGTAGCCTAAGAATAAATATCCTGATCTGAAGGTCTGTAGTATTTTGGAGATCCAGCATTGTGTAGTGGTTTGAGTGTTGGAAATAAGCCGGTTTGACACCACATTAACTGCCATGGCACAATGCTATGGAATTCTGGGAACTGTAGTTTGTGTTGGCACCACAGCAGAGCTACAAAGGGCTGCATCCGCAGAACTCTGGTGCTACAACCAACTACAGTTCCCAAAATTCCATACATAGCATGGTGCTGTGGCAGTTAAAGTGGTGTCAAACCGGATTAGTTCTGCAGTGCGGATGAGCCTCAGTTTTCATCTCTGAATTGTCGGAGAGTATGAAACTCTCTCTCCAGAGTTTCTTTTTAGCTCTTGGACAGTACACAAAAGCAAGAGGAAAAGGGTGAAAATGGGACCAGAAATGAATTAAAGATATATGAATGTCCATTCATCAAGGCACATTCTTCCCCTTCCATATTTGAAATTAGTTGACCTCACTGAGGCTTACGTCTCAATAGCCATGCATGGGATAATCTTGTAATAAATGTCGCTTCTCTGAGACCAGAGGAGAGAAAAGAAAAACAAACAGAGCACCACAGGTTTCTATGGGATGCGGTGGGGCTTGATGCAAAATGAACATCCTGAAAAGAAGATGTCCAGAAAGCCTAAGGCCATTCAGAGTAAGCCAGAGACTCTCCTTACAATCTAAGGCTTGAAACGACAACAGTTCTTATGTGTTCTATTTATATTCTGCCAGCATATCTATGGATAGCAGCCTTTTCAGGATTTAATAACTATTTGCTCCTACTGCTATTATTATGGTGGTTCAGACTGCTGTCATTGTTGCTGCTACTATTACCACTATCGCATCTTTCTCCTAAAACTGGAATTCAAAGCAGCTTGCAACGTAAAAAGACAAACAAACAAGAGAGCTAAAAATCTGCAAAAATGGAATCAAACTATTCACAATATTAAAACAATGTAAAACTAAACTTAAGAAGGTAAAATGCAACTAAAATTTTAAAAAAACTATTACTGTATATATTCAACTATAAGTCATGAATAAGTCGAGGGCAGGTTTTGGGGCCCAAATTATAGATTTTGATGTGACCCGTTGGAAAAGTTGAGGGTAAAATGTAACAAAGGATGTAAAGGATGAAGCAAAGGAAAACAATCCAAAAGAACTTAGAAAATTCCAGCAGATATAACTCACACTAAAGATTGGATGGATGGATGAGAGAGGAGAGTGCTTCCAGGACAAATGGCATCTTGCCCTTTATCAGGGGATGGCTCCTTTTTTAAATAAAAGTTAATATATAGTACTGACATAGACCTGTGGTATACCTGTTCAACTTGTATGCAGAACATATTATAAGAAAAGCAGGCTTGGACACAGAAGAAGGAGACGTGAAAAATAGGAGGAAGGATATCAACCATCTGAGATATGCAGATGACACCATAATACTAGCAGAAAACCTCAAAAGACCTGGAACACCTACTAAGGAAGATCCAAGAAAAAAGTGCAAAGGCAGGCTTAATGCTGAACATAAAGAAAATAAAAATAATGACCACCGAGGACCTTCACAAGTTCAACCTAGACAATGAAGAAATAGAAACAGTAAAAGAATTCCCATACCTGGGATCAAACATTGATAGAAATGGGGACTGCAGTCAGGATATCAGAAGAAGACTATGAATGGGGGAAGGTGGCTATGAAAGAAATAGAAAAGATCCCAAAATGCAAATATATACAACTCGACACAAAGGTTAGAATCATACAAGCCATTGTATTTGCTATTCCTGTGGATGGATGTGAGAGCTGAACAGTTAAGAAAGAAGATAGGAAGAAAAACAATGCAGCATTTGAGAGAATGTGGTGCTGGAGAAGAGTGCTGAGGATCCCATGGAGAGCCAAAAGGACAAACAAATGGTCCTAAAGCAGATCAAGATGGAAACCTCCCTTGAAGAAGCCAAGATGGTCAAACTGAGGCTGTTGTATTTTGGACACATCATGAGAAGAGGACTCTTTGGAAAAGACAATAATATTGGGAAAGATGGAGGGAAGGATTAAGAGAGGAAGGCCACATGCCAGATGGATGGACTCTATGAAGGAGGTCACTTTGGGGAATTAAGGGGTTGCAGGAATTAAGCAAAGCAGTGGAAGACAAAGGGTCTTCTTGGAGATGTCTTGTCCAAAGGGTCGCCATGAGTCGAAATTGAATTGAGGGCAGTTAACAACAACAAAATACCTGTACAGGTATATTTGTAAATAAGAGGCCCTTAAACAATCATATAATTTATGTGCAGGTTCACAGGAGAGAAGGCTATCTCTGAAATATTCATGTCATAAGCCAATTAGATTTTTTTAAGAGGGTTGGGCAGGCTTTGAAAGTCAGTGGGTCATTTTTGTTGCTGTTGCATGCCTTCAAATCATTCTTGACCTATGGCGACACTAAGGTGAATCTCAGTGCCAGAGTGATGTAGTGGTTTTATCGTTGGACTACAAATCTGGAGACCAGGGTTCGAATCCCGGCTCAGCCATGCAAAGCATGAACTGGGTCTGGAAATACCATGGAAGCTAAAGTAATCGATTCAAGGCTAATGTGAAAAATCTATAACAAAAAGGTAAAGTTTACAAACACTCTCCAAGGGCCGCCCTAGGCAAAAAGCCCTGCAGTAATCTAATTCAGAGGATTCCCCTGTTGAATGTCAAACCAGACCAGAAATCTAGCTGCAGAAGACTTACTGTTGGGACTGCTTCTCGGCAAGCTCATTTGTTTTCTCCTAGAATCAAGGAACAAAACAGAGAAAACAAAAACAATTTAACATGAGACCATGCCTCTGACATGTAAGAAAAGAGAAGCAGAGCAAAAAGGACAAATCTATGCAATCAGACCTCATTTTGCTAGTCTTGCTCTTCTGGACCATTCCTTCTATTTCGTATGACCCATCTGTGAGCGCCGTTCTTTACAAAGCCAAAACAACCTATGCCCAAGAAGAGCCGGCTGGACAAATGTAGAAAGCTAGGAAGTCACATTAAAACAGATTGGTGCTGCCCTTTTTATGTTTAAAAAATGTTGATTTATTTTTTAAAAAAACCTTCAGTTTTATTTTAATGCTACAGTTTGTTTGTTTGTGTTGGAGCATTATAACATTCTCTCTCTCTTTTTTAAAAAAAATAGTAATAATCTTTTAACTGTTTTGAATCTGTACTTGTTTTAATCTCATTCGGAAAGAGGCCTGAACCCTCTGTCCTGGTGGAATAGCAATCATATCACAAATGCACAGAAAAATGTGTATTTTATGGGAGGGGGTTGTTGTTGTTATTGTATTTCAAAGGGCAAATTTTGTGATTTTTTTCTAAATGTATTTTTTTTTTACTTTTAAAAAAATGCAGACTGATTGGAAATGGAAATTAACACAGGAAATTAACACAGATTTATAAACTAGCATCCACAAAACTGGCAGGGACCATTGACAAGGACAAAACAGGCCATTTTGAGTGGTTGCGGGCATTTGGCACTGGCATGTATTTTCAAATCCTACTTTTTTCATTCTTAATAATTCCGCCAATCTTCTTCCTCACCTAGAGTCTCTTTTTGGGGGGATTCTGGGAGTTCTAGTCTCCCAAACAGATATTTCCCAGCCTCTAACTTCCCCAAACTGCTACTGACCCACACGGTCCTTTGGATCATCTTGGCCGACTTGAGAAGCAGTTGTCCAAACTCTCCGGGCTTGAAGTTGTTGGCGGAGTGCTGAATGCAAAGGCAGAGGAGAAAGGCTGGAGTCAGCTTGTGGTCATCTCCCGTGGGTTCGATGAGGGTGATGATCCTCCTCAGGAGCAAGTCTTCGCTGGCCTTGTCGAACTCCAGCTGGAGCTTCCTCCGGCCGCCTCTCCGACCCGACGGGACCTGGGGATGGTGGCTCCCTTGCTTTTTGGACGAAGAGCCAGCCTTATCTTTGAAGGGGTTCCCACACATTTTGCAACCGGAGGAAAGCTCCGGTTCCGAGGCCCGGCGGATGGCTCGGAGCCGCATGAGGGTCTGAGCCGGCAGCGGCTGGGTTTTGAGGGGGTCCTTGTAGAGGAGCAAGTAGTAAAGGCCAAGGGAGATGAGGTCTCCATGGTGGAGCGTGACCGTCCTCCCCACCTTGGAGAAGTTGATGGAGACGCTGGCTCCCGGGATGGGCTCCAAGACTAGCTTCTCTTCGGAGCGATGTCGGGAACGGCTGGAAGCCTTAATCCGCCGGATGGTGCAATGGAGGGGAAGGATGTCCGGAGCGGACAGGCTAATACTTGGTTTGCTGGCTTGAGTTCTTTGGCCGACAGTGTGCTGGTCTCGGTTTAGCATGTAAACCAAACTGTCCTGCAAGGTTAGCACACACATACGCACATGAGAACAATAAGAGAACATCAGGAAAGTCAGAGCTTGCCAGGAACTCATTACAAGCAACTGGAAGCATGCTCTTGCTGAACTAAAGCTCCCAGAATCCTACACGCAACTTGGACATGCTTCCTAAGAAATAGGCCCACTCTAATTAATTTGGATGCATAAATACACGTTCTTCATTTATTTAAATAAATCTACAAGGTGCTTGCCATTCACAAGACATGGTGCGCATGTGCTTTCAAAGTTGCCTGTCGACGTATGGCAATCCTATGAATTTCACAGAGTTCTATATATCCAGAAAAGGAACTTGGCTGAGCTCTCCAAATAATGTCCCTTAGAATTAAATGTTTGTTGAACCATTCTATTCATTATGAAATGTCTTGGAGCCTAGATAAGGAGTAGGATTTGGGAAATGGCAGCCCTAGCCTCATAGTGTAGCATATGATGTACAACTTGGGAAAGCATATATATATGGACTACAAACTCCAGCATCTCCCACTGCCCTTGCTGGCTGGGAACATCTGAGAGTCTACTTTCTCAAGCTCTGATAAAGCAAGGCCAAGAAAAACAAAGGATCCCGGTGCTGCCACTTACATGTTGCTGGCTGTAACCCTGCAAAAGCAGGAGATGCGGGGACTGATAAAGGGAGTAGCGCATGCTGTTGCAATTCTGATCCTCTGCAGGAATGGAGTGCCCATCTCTGCTACTCTCCAGACACCACAGCGTCTCGGGCAAAGTGGAATAATGCCGCTTGAACTGCTCCTCCTCCTCCTCCCTATTGTCCTGTGTGCCGGACTGGCTGAGACTGGTCTCACTGACCGTGCGCCGGAGGCTGGGTGGCGTGGTGTGGTTCTTGCATCCCGTCAACAGCGTCATGTTGCCTTTGGTGCGATTCCGCTGGAGTTTCCGGGCCTGGGCATTTATACCTGGGGAGCATGAAAGGGATGAAATGCCAAGCATCAAAGCAACCCCATACCCTTCAAGTATCCCGATACAGCAGGGACAGTCCCAATGAGCGATAGTACTTACATTTCTATTCTATAGATCAGTGAACTCAGCACTCTAAACGGTTTATTATCTGTAAGCCAATTGCCCCCAACAAGCTGGGTACTCATTTTACTGACCTACCAAAGGATGGAAGACTGAGTCAACCTTGGAGCCCTGGGATCAAATTCACAACCTTGTGGCTTCAGCACCGGCATGTAACCACTGCATCACCAGGGTTCCTTAATCCTCCATCAATTCACTTTTTCAGAATTTTTTTTTTAAATTTAATTTTTATTCATCAGAATTTACTTATTACATATTTCAAATACAGTATTTACATAAGTTTTTTTTAACTTTTAAAAATATTATATTAATATTACATTAAAAATATATAAAAGAAAAGAAACTGTGGGGGAGGGAAGAAAAGGAAAACAACTTGCTTGGAAATAGCAAGGGGGAGAGTGGAGAGGGTGAAAGGAGCATCATCGCACCATGTGTCTCCTTGCATAGCAGAACTGCAGCAGTAGGACCTTATCACACGTGACTCAATAGTAGAAATGCAGCACAATTGGGAGGTATTGATGGGTTTTGCCCGTCAATGAAAGGGAACGCTCCAGGAACAGATGGAGGATGGAACAAATCCTAGACAGACATGGCATCGTGTGATAAGGTGCAGCCACAGATGCTGCTATTCTGCTGTAATTCTACTTTTTAGTTTCATGGAATAAAGTCCATAGTCTATAGTTGTCATTTTAACCCTACTCCATCTAATCACACTTCTCACTTTTAAAAAGAGTAGATGCATAAGCTCACTGGCCTCTCACTCATGTCAGGTACTGTGGACCACCTTGTCCGGTATTACACCACCTTCCCAAAACACAACCCAGACATCAATTTGTACCAATTTTGATAGCAGCCTTTTCAAAACGTGTGTGTGTGTGTGTGTTGTTCCCTTATCCCTCTGGGTCCAAACCACTGTGCTCTTGAAGACTGCAGAAACCCTAAGAAATAGAGGTTGTTACGCCCTTGGAAGTTGACAAAGCAAGATGGAATGGCTGGCAGGAGAAAGGAGAAGAATGCATACAACCCATTAACATCAGACAGGGCTCACATATTCATGGTCCTTAAACTGTGCAATAAAAAAATGTGGAGACAAAGAAAAGTCTTATTTTTAAAAAAAAAACCACCCCAAACTGGGCAACAACATTTTTTCTCCTAAACTTAATTTCTCCCGGACTCAAGCCATAAATCTGATATGTCCTTCCACATCCTTCCACAATGTCAGTTTCCCCTGGAATTCCCCTTTCCTTTAGAAATCTCTCTGCTCTCAGCATCCCCCCCCCCAATCCATCTCCCATCTTATGCAGCATGTTTTACCAGCCGTCTTGCGTCTCCGCGCGAATGAAAAGGAGTGCATTCCAAAAAAGCCCCACATGCACAAGCCAAATCCAAATAAAGAGATCCATAAAATCAAAATGAGACGCCAACTCTGAAATGCAAAGAATAAGGGAGCTGTCAGCCCCATAGGATGGATGGGATGAAGTCCTTCCTTACCATTAAAGCGCAGGGGGCTGCAGAAGATCCCAGACCCCTTCTGGCAAATGCTAAGGGCACCTGCCAATGCGCCGACTGGCTGGCGGGACTTGCAGACTGCAGTGAGAAAAGGGCTCTGCTTGCTTGCTGCAGAGGCAAGAAATAATTAACTTCTGCACACTATCTCTTCAAAAACAAAAGAGAGGAAGAGAAGGAGAGACGGGGACAAAGAAATGAATGTGACACCCAAAAAAGCTTGCAATGCACTCTCGGCCCCACAACCAAGTGGTCGAATCTCCACTTCCTCAGCTCCCCAAAGTGGAATGATCCTTGGTAATAAATCCTCCTTCTGTGCTGCAGACCTGAGGGCTGGCTGGCTGGCTGGAAACTTGAAGGAAAGTTAGGGATGCTCTCAGCACCTAGAAAAG